AGTTTCTCTGCAGAAACTTTAGTGGCGTCACTTTATTGAAGGTGTTTGATCATAATAATTTAGGAGGAATCTGTAAAATAACAGTTTTTCTCTGTAGAAATATCAATGAAACTTTCTGTAAATTTATTGTTTTTACACTTTATTTGAATTAAAATAACACACACACACACACACACACACACACACACACACACACACACACACACAGGGACATTTAGCCAAAATCAAAGTGTATCATGTTTTTCCTTCATGGAGCAGGAACATCAAGGAGCCCCTTAAACAAAAGCTGTTAGTTCTCATTGTAATGAACTTCCATCAAAGAGCCGCGGCTCTGCACATCAAAGCAGAGCTTCATCTAACAGCTGGCACAGACGGCAGACACACACACACACACACACACACACTGTCTGTCTCGTGCTGTATGTTTTACTGGTTAACAGTGAGTTTGTATGAATAGCAGCTCCTGATCACGTGTCACACTGTCTCTAAAGTAAACATCTGGTGATATATTACTATTTATATATAAAACAATGGTTTTATGTAAATCAGATCCCGTTCTTTCAGTCTTTTTCTGAGACATGAACTTTCCATGTGCTTCAGTAACATCTGTTCTTTGTGCTGCATGAATCATGTTGAAGCTGCCATCTGCTGGACTGTACTACAACATGCACATATATATTGAAGAATAGTAGGTACAACCAGTTAATGATTAGAATATTCAGACTCAACTGTCCAGCTCTTTCTGTCTCCAGAGGTGACTTCTCATGTTGAAACAGTTAATGTTTGTTTGACATATTTTATCATATAAACAGTTTTAAAAATCACTGGAGAAACTTTAACCTGGAGCAACATAGAAAACAAAGGTCAGCACCACAGCACCACCCGCAGGACTGACTGTGTCACAGCATCAGAACTACAATATTCACATCTACATGTGTTTGATTTGATGATATCAGCTGACTTTAATGAGCTGATGATGAACAAACAGCAGCTTCATTACAAAACTGTTGAATTCCTGCTGGACCCAAGTTCTCTGTTTGTCAGAGAATTCAAATATCATGGAATTAAAAGTAGAAACTGACACAGGACAAAGATTCAGAATCAGTGTTTTCAAACATATTTGACTTTAATGCAAATTCACAAACACATTTCCAAAGGGTTTCAATCAGACTAATGACTCATAATAAACTCATAAACCTGATAACTGTTGACTTGAAAATGAACAACTTCCAGTTTGACGTTGACCGTCACCCCAGTGACGTGTGACTTCACGTGGACTTCAGTCTTGTGACCTCATAACCTCCCAAATCCCAAAATGATGTAATACAAATTGTTCAGCCAATCAGGTTGTGAATCCTGAAGCTAAGGAACCATGTCTGTTCAACTGTACACATCATTTCTGTTTGTGTTTAGTGAGTTCATGATGGGAACTTTGACAAAAACAAACAGACTCCATTTGATTTTAGAATGTGCTGCTTGTGCACACTTTTGTCCCACAATGCATTGCTTCTAAGAAATGTAGGAGCCGTTCACGGCTGTAAAACTTTGAACCTGACGATGGAGGTGAAACAACATGTGATTTGAAAATAGATTCTTCACTCAAGGTCCACTTACTTCAGGGCCTTTAACTGCATTTCGTGGTCTTCATCAACGACTTCCCCAGCAAAAAGGGAAATAATCTATTTTCACTGTAATTGAATCCATCAGTAACACAATGACAGAGTGTATGAATATTTTGGTCGTGGGTTCCAAACACTTTCTCTAATAATATCTGTGCTCTCTTGTGGGTCAGTTTAATTAAATAAATTTATTTTTGAATCATAATTAATCCTTAATGTGGAACAGTTTGAGAACCACTGAGATTCACAATAACTTATGAAATCAAGTGTTTTTGTGTAACTTCCTGTGATAATTGTGTTGGTGCTACATGAGTATTTTATAAACAATACTAGTAACTATAATATAGAAATAATAAATAAACAAAACTCAAATGTTGTATCACGACTGTGGCAGAAGTAAAAACAACCTGAAGACAGGTATTTCAATCAAAATGAAAAATAATTATTAACGTTAACGGCCACTAAAAGTTGCAACAGCTAGTCTCTCCAAAGTCCACAGGGCAGCAGGAATCAGCAGTAATATCCACTGGCTTACAAGCTAACAAGCTAACAGGCTAACAGCCCTGTAGCTCCCAGTCTCTTTAGTGTTTGGACTTCATGCACAGGAAGTTCTGACTGCAGCAGGTTTGAATGAGAGCTGGTATCATCAGCAGCTCTGTCACCTCCGGTATGTTCACAGTGCAAAGCTAAACTTCGTCACACATTACTCAACCAAGTTTGTCACAGTATTTATGGTTATAATGCTTCCATCTATATATACGTTATTGTGCTGACATGTAAAGCTGAGCAGCAGGAGGATGTGAAGGCTGTTGTCAGAGTCGTTCATATGGCTTTTTCCCAGAGGCAGTAAAACTCAAAAATACCAATAGAAAATATTAGTTTGCTCATTAATGTCCAGCACGACTTCAGTCTGGTTAAAGGTCTCCTCCAGTGTAAAGGTCTGTGTCCATGTGTAGTGTGATTATAGATCAGGTCTAGCTTCCATATTAATACTGTGAAAGTATCAAAGCCTCAGTCCACAGAGAAATGCACACAGCCTGTATTCAGAAACTGAGCCTTAAAACCAGCCGTCAGGACTTCTGGAACTTTGTGATGTCACAACAAAGCAGTCACCAAGCCCCGCCCACCTGGACCCACCATCCAAACCTTGCAGGATTTGGTTGTTTTTACCCGAAATCTGCTATATTTTTATTGGATCACTCAGAAAACAGTCAGCCAATCAGAGGAGAGGCTCAGAGCCTCCTCTCTTCTGATTGGCTCACCGACCTGTTGTTACTAGAGCTGCAGAGAGAAGCCTGAGAGAGGAGATGTAAAACTACACTGAGATGGTTTTTATATCTTCTGATGGATCAACACTTCAAATAAAACACAGAAGAAGAAGAAACATGGAGCTTTGAGATGGTTACAGAGTAAAGTCTGTGTCACACTGGAGAAGAACGAGTTTGTACGACGTGTCGTCAGATTATGTTGAAGACAAAAGTGTTGATACCTGAACTGTGAAGTTCTCTGCAACTAAAACACGAGGTTAAAGGTTCTGATGAAAAAAAGTCAAAACATTTATTTCACCCTCTGACAGATGTGCTATGAGTCCATCCACCGCTCCGACCTCCACATCCACTGACGACCAGCTTTATCCTGTTGCTGCGGTTACAGTAGCCCTCACTGCTGCGTTGCATAAAGACTCTCAGGTGACACGTTTGTTACCACGACAGCTCATGAACCTGACTCTGTATAAAGCGTGTGTGTCACAGATATGACGGCCTCACAGAAACGTGCCTCTCACAGCCAGGACTTCTTAGTCCGTCCCAGCCGGGCCATGTTGGCCAGCTTCACCTTCACCTTGTCTCTGCTCTCTGGGTTTCTCTTGGAGGTGCACTCCACCGTGGAGTCCGTCTCAAAGGAGATGGCGGGGGCGTGCGTGAGCAGACCTCCAGTCTTCTCTGGAGCCATGGCCCCCGGGGTCTGCAGGACCAGCTGGCTCCTCAGAGAGTGCCGGAGCTGCAGCAGGAGGGGGTTGTGGTTGGAGTAGAGTTTGACGGTGTCCCTCTCCTGACTGCAGCAGGTGGAGCAGGCCGAGCACAGGATGCGGAAGATGTAAACCCAGCCCAGGTAGTGGAGCTCCGCGATGTTGAGCACGAAGCAGCCGAGGCTGATGCTGAACATGAAGTTCAGGAAGATGGTTTTCTCCGTGGCTCGAGACACGAAGCAGTCGGTTCGGGTCGGGCAGGGGTAGGTCTCGCAGCGGTACAGGTGAGGCACCTCGAACCCAAACAGGAAGTACTGACCCACCAGGAAGGTGATTTCCATGACGGATCGCAGGAGCACATGGAGGATGTAGATGAGCAGAACCTGGTTGGACTGCTGGGTGGGGTCCTCTCCTAACTCGCCGTAATCCTCCCGCAGGTAGCTTTCTTCTACCCCCTCCCTCTCCCCCACCCCCCACTCCTCACTGTAGTGAGGACAGTAGGGGGGCATGCTCACCCTCAGGGCCTCCATACCGTCCTTCCCCACGTGGCTGCATCTCTGCCTGGGGGGCCTCTGGGCCACCACCTGTGCTCTCTGGCTGTCCAGCTTCTCGTCCTTGGCAATCTTGTGCAGAACAAAGACGATGTAGAAGATGGACGGGGTGGAGACCAGCACGATCTGAAAGACCCAGAAACGCAGGTGTGAGACGGGAGCGAAGGTGTCGTAGCAGACGTTGCTGCAGCCGGGCTGCTGGGTGTTACAGGTGAACTTGGACTGCTCATCGCTGTAGACGGCGTCGCCCACCAGCGCCACCAGCAGGATCCGGAAGATGAGCAGCATGGTGAGCCAGATCTTTCCGATCACTGTGGAGTGGTTCTGAACCTCGGACAAGAAGCGGCCCAGTATGGACCAGTCACCCATGATGTAACCTTAGAGAGAGCAGAAGACAGTGTCAGTGCTTTCTCATCATTTTACGCCTCCAGCCCCAACAATGACTCTACACACCCCAGGAGTGGCTCGGCTCTTAGTCATAGAACCACTGGTGAGCGTTCGGGTCAGTGAACATGTTTAACCCTCTGAGGGTGTATTCTTGATTTCTACATTATTTCTTTATTAAGGTTGTGCACATGAATAATACCAAAGTGTTTTCAGAACAACCTCAGCTCTTTCTATAACGAGGCTTCTTACACTGAGCAAAAAGATCATTTGGCTGAAAAGCTGAAAACTGCAACCCGGTTTTTGAAATTCTTCAAATCTCTTGTGAAAACAAACCTTGTGGATGAATTGAAATGTGTTCACCAAAGTCTTAGGTTCATAAAAATAGTGCAACATCTGAGTAAAATAGTAGATAAATGTATGATAAATGCCTTAAATGAAAATTGTTGTTTGTCACTTCACTTACTCAGGTACAATCTTGCAAGAATATGAAAAGGAAAGTGGAGAGTCTACAGATTCTAACAACATTGAAACCATATTTCTACACTGTGTTATCACAAAGATGCTAATAGAAACATCTGTTGACCTCAGAGGGTTAAACATCATGGCCTGGTTTCAGGAACCTGGACAAACTCTTGTCACAATTTTGAGAAGCGACTCTGAGAGAGACTGATCAGCACCTGATCCAGGGATCCAGATCCAGAGATAAGATGAGATGAGATGAGATGAAATAAGATGCGATGAAATAAGATGCGATGAGATGAGAGAAGATTGGATGAGAGAAGATGAGAAGAGATAAGATGAGATGAGATGAGATTAAATAAAATGAGATGAGAGAAGATGAGAAGAGATGAGATGAAATAAGAGAAGATGAGATGAGAGAAGATGAGATGAAATAAGAGAAGATGAGATCAGAGAAGATGAGATGAGATGAGATGAAATAAGAGAAGATGAGATGAGAGAAGATGAGATGAAATAAGAGATGATGAGATGAAATGAGATGAGAAGAAATAAGGGAAGATGAGATGAAATAAGATGAGATGAAATAAGACAAGATGAGTTGAAATAAGATGAGATGAAATAAGGGAAGATGAGATGAAATGAGATGAGATGAAATAAGATAAAATGAGATGAGATGAGAAGAGATGAGATTAAATAAGATGAGATAAGATGAAATAAGATAAATTGAGATGAAATAAGATGAGATGAGATAAGATGAGATGAGATTAGACAAGATGAGATGAACCTTTATTGATCCCCTGCAGAGGAAATTCAAATTTGACACAGCAGCACAAAGAGAAAATATAATAAGAAATAAAACACAATCTAAAATAAATTATCTAAAATAGAGATACTATAGTCAATTTAAAAATAATAGAAATAAATAATAATAATCATTTTCTGAACAGCTCTGTCATGGATTTAGTTTGAATTCATTATTTGAATGAACAGTTTTCATGTCTTTTACACAGTTTCATTGTTATAGATCAGATTGTAGAGTTTCCTTCAGTCACTGATACATGGACGTAAACAAGAACAGGAGAGTAACTGTTGTTTACAGAGATGAGGAAAAATAAATTCCACAGTATTTTATTTCAGGGCACAGTAAGAAAACCCTAATGCAGTGATGGTATTAATACTATTTTTAAAGTTTAATTAAAGAGGAAATAGTTGAGAACAGCCTGTGTAATATCATACAACACATACTTTGTCATGACTTTAGTTGTAACCAATATTTAAAACATATTTATGTAAAAACATATAAGGTTTTTTTCCTTTCCTCCAAAATGTCCAGTTGTTTCTCCTGTTTTCTATTTATTCTTATTCTTCTTCCATTGTTCTTTGATTGAAGCATCAACAGGAACCCGTCACATTATTGTTAGTACCTTATTTACATAGTGAAATAACTGTGAATCCAAAGTTAACCTGATTTATTTTTGTATTTCTGTATTTTTCAGCCTTTAAATGTTTAAATGTAACTGATCAAACATGTTGGTATCAGACTCTAAATCATAAAGTGTATCTACACTTCAGATTATTATTAGACAGATTATTGAGAACATGACACCGCAGTGCACGTATACGTGTGTGAATTAGACTTCTTCGCTCTCAGACACATGAACTCCTCCTTTGTATTGAACAGTATAAACCTTGAGGAGAAAGTAGAAAATGACAGATTCCAGTTTGAACTCACCTGAATTTAACCCTCAGTTTTCCAGAATGAATCCTGACCACAGAGGCTTCGCCACGCAGCGTTCATGGCTATTTTTAATCTCAGAGCGTTGATGATCTGAGTCCTGGTGAGCGTGGTGAGGGACAACAGACTGACCACACAGATTGACCCAGTCCATCTGAAACTGTCATTGTGCTGTGTGGCTACAAAGGCTGGCAATGTACAGTGCAACAAAGATTTCAAAACACAATGGAGGGGGGGGGGGTTCCTTTTCTGAACAGCCGCGAACAGTCACACAAAAAGCAAATGGAACCAGCTGGAAAGAGGAGACAATGCAGCTTCATGCAAAACTTCTGTATTTAGGTGCTTGAAAAGCAGAAGTTAGAGAGGAATAAATCGTTCTGCTCTTCCTTCGCTTTCCAGATGAAGCCTCAAACATCAGAGCAGCGACAGCAGGATTCACCTGGAGCCTGAACACTTTCAGTTTCATCCATGAGTATGGACGTCCCAGGTGGTGTAGATCAGAAAAGAGTCAGTCTGTATGAATATAAAGAACGCTTCCAGCAATCCAGAAACAATCTGAGTAAAGCCCCTCCAGGTCTGTGTTGGTTTTTTTTACCCCATTAGGTTTAGGATCCTGATCCATCAGCTGCAGCACAGGACTCTGGATCAGAGCTCCACTGACACACTGTGCAGTTCACTCTGGGCTGGAATCCAGTTGTTGTTTATGCAGATGAAGCAGTGAAGGCTGGATTCCATAGGCAAATGTGATATATGTACATATGTTGAATTTTCATATATGAAACACAGTATATGTATGTAGAAAATAAAAACAAATATGGAAAAATTAAATTACTAATTGGAACAATTTCATACATTGATATAGATGTCTATAATATAGATGTTTATATATTTAGACTAACAGATGTTACATAAATATATATCCATCCACAACCTGTCAGTATATGATATTATATAAAACTCTGAAATAGTTGATAGCTAAAATACACAATATAAATATAAATGCAACAGTATATGATGTATAGCACAGTTGAAAACAACAGTAGAATAATTGCACAGAGAATAGAAGTATTGAAATATTGCACTGGTTTGTACTATTATGTCAGAATTGCACAGTTAGTATATTATAATGAGTATAAATAAATAAATGATGGAGTAAGGTCTGCTGACCGGGATGAAGAAACGTTTCACTGATCTTTTCTTCGAGCTTCATGAGTTTGAGTCGACTTGTTTTCATTATGGGTTTAAAGGAAGAGTTCGACATGAACAACAAGCTGATGAACAAGTCCAGCTGAAGTGTCTCTGAGACAGACAGCGAGGACAGGTTTAGGTTTGAGTCTCTGCAGAGGGCGGACATGATGACGGTGAGACCTCAGGGAACTGCAGTGACTGAACTGAGCTGCTGCTGACCAAGAAAATGTTTCACCACAAACCGGGATTTTTACTGTCTGTTTGAGGTAAACAAACCGACACGTGTTCATCAGTGAGCTCCATATGGGTGTATTGTCAGCAGCATGTTAGCAGCACGGTGTCCAGGATGATCCCTTGACTTTTCCTCTAGCGCCACCATAAGGTTGACAGTTGTGGCTCTTATTTACTTATTTACTGTTATCCAGAACAGACAAGTAAAGAACAAGAATAGATGTTTTTACTTGTTTTTAAAGCTCTACACTTCAGATTCTCTGTGGTGTGACTCATTCACCAGCTCTCAGATCTTCTACTGCCAGGTAGATTTATTTAACTTGACTTTTAATAAATTCTCTCATATTTAACTATTCTTACTGGTTTCTGATTTTATTTTCATTTACATATTTTTTTTATTTTATTTTTGTTATTGTAAAACACTTTGAGCTTCATCTCTTGTATTAAAGGTGCTCTATAAACAAAGTTATTATCTCAACAACTTTTAGACGTCTTGTTGAGAAATTTGGTTCAGACTTCTCACTTTTTCACATCAAGGACCTTTAAAGTGACACTGATGAATAGAAAAGACCACAAAGGAAATATTTCCGTCTAAAGGAAAAACTTTCTTACTTGATTTTATGTATTCTATGTAAACCACTTTTAACTTATTTATTTATATTTTTTAATTTCTGTCATTATTTTATTATTTATTCCATCTCATTTTACATGAATGTTTTTAACATGTTATGTTTGTTCTGTCTTTTCATGTTGTATGAAAGGTGCTCTACAAAAAAGGTTATTATTATTTATTATTCATAAACATGAACACTATAAATTAAGTTAAACCTAATAAGGCTGTTACCTGTTCACCTGAGTGTCTAAAGTTTGCTTCCACACGTTTGAAGATGAAGCAGATATTTGTAAACTTTCATCTCAGATTATTTCTTTCAACAGAATCACTGAGAACTATATTTTAGTAAATAATGAGATTAACTCGGTGAAAGATTTTTCTGTTTACATCATCAATTGTTATTTTTATGAAAACATGTGACGTCATTTATTATACTTATTTATATCGAAACTTACAGAAACAAAACGCAGTTTCTCTTTAAAATTGAACGGGGAATATTTGAGGTAACATTTCGTGTGAAGGCCAAACGTCCTAAAAAAAAAAGTGCTGTGGACTTGGTTCAGCCCCGGGGGTTACAGGAAGTTGTAGCTGCCATGTTCAGCTGCTTTGTTGTAGATTCCTTGTAGGTTTCCTGCAGATTTTAGCCTAAGTGTTGCAATGGAACCGAGCTGGAGTACGTTTCTATTTCAGGTAAGTGGCACGGCGGAACAATAGTCTGAGAAACTGCATGAACGTTTTCCAAGTGGCGTAATTGTT